GGTTAAATGAGAAGAAGTGTAATACCATTGAGAAGGACAAAGGCGGCAGAGGCCGCGAGACAGCAACACAAGATAAAAAGAAGGAACGAAAAAGGCAGATCAATTAAGCCTACAGGATCGCTGAGGGGAGTGGAGACAAAAACAAACAAACAAATAAAACAACAGACTCACTCGAGAGGAGCATGTGGCTGTTTTTCATTGGGAGAGACGCGACGTGCCTCGCATGGGTTCTGGGGTGGCCTCGGTTGGCTGAACTTATCTGTGACTTCTTTCCTTCCCCCCTTTTTTCCCTGGTTTTCTCGCCACTTACGCACAATGGCTGTGTAATTGGGTACACGTCAAACACAAACGCAAAGGCTTCTCTTTCAAACGACGACGACGACGACGATGCCTGCCAAGTCTGCCGCTCAGAAGGTTGCTGCGCCCAAGAAGGCCGTCAAGAAGAGCGCACCGACCGCCGCGGCGAAGGTGGTGAAGGTGGCCAAGCGCAAGGCGTACACCCGCCCGCAGTTCCGTCGCCCGCACACGTACCGCAAGCCGGCGACCGTCAAGCCGAGCAACAACCTGAGCGCGATCCCCAACAAGTGGGACGCGTTCCGCGTGATCCGCTACCCGCTGACCACCGACAAGGCCATGAAGAAGATTGAAGAGAACAACACGCTGACCTTCATCGTGGACTCGCACGCGAACAAGACGGAGATCAAGAAGGCCATGCGCAAGCTCTACCAGGTGAAGGCGGTGAAGGTGAACACCCTCATCCGCCCCGACGGCCTCAAGAAGGCGTACATCCGCCTCTCCGCCTCGTACGACGCCCTCGAGACGGCCAACAAGATGGGCCTGGTGTAGGCGCACGGGCGAGCGTGCCGGGCGCGGCGTGGGGCGGTGTTGGTGGTTGCCTTCGGTTAAATGAGAAGAAGTGTAATACCATTGAGAAGGACAAAGGCGGCAGAGGCCGCGAGACAGCAACACAAGATAAAAAGAAGGAACGAAAAAGGCAGATCAATTAAGCCTACAGGATCGCTGAGGGGAGTGGAGACAAAAACAAACAAACAAATAAAACAACAGACTCACTCGAGAGGAGCATGTGGCTGTTTTTCATTGGGAGAGACGCGACGTGCCTCGCATGGGTTCTGGGGTGGCCTCGGTTGGCTGAACTTATCTGTGACTTCTTTCC